CGGGAAATAGTCTGGGAAGACAACTGTCTTCCTCCAGGTATCTTACTGGAACAGTGAATCTGAATTCAGACATTGCTGCAAACATCTATCTACAAAGTTACCACAGTCAGTTCTAGTCCTGGAAACTATTCCTGAAACAAGGTTAATTTTTATAGGAGTACTTCTAACTATTAAATGGCACAAATAAGTGAACTACATGTGTTTGCCCAGTCATTTACATAACAGACTAAATGTTGCACCCCAATTCTTGGCTGGCATACAGCAAGACCCCTCTAAGTGCAAAGGAAATCTATGTAGCACATTGGAACACTTTGCTTCAAGAAGTCTAATTTTGATTAAGCTATTACAGACAAAACCTATCCAAGCAAACTTTGGGGTTTTCACTCATCATCATCTTCAAAAAAGCAGCATTCACCAAAATTTAAATCTCACCATCCTATGCCAACTCAGTAATTTTGGATCATTATGATTTCTTTACCATTTGCTCTGGAGTTCCCAAATTTATAATTCCAATATCAGGTCACACTAATATAAAATATCATCATCATCATGGCTAGGCTTCACGAACGAAAAATAAGAATGCTGAAAAATAACATTCTCATAACGTTTCCATTCTAGAGCTCACTGACACCTGCAGAACTGTAAAACTGATTGAACAAACTCTACAGTAACGAATTTCCACCTCTCCCACATGTTTCTCTCTTCTTAAATGTCAGCTCCTGTCTAGCCTGCAGCAAAGGATTCTACACAGAGCCTCCATTTTCACTCAAGAGCTCTGGCAACTGGTTCCTGTGATCTGCCACCTCGGGGAGCTCTCAAACCCACTCCCCTCACCCTGCCCAGCCACTGGCACAGAACTGGGAAAGGACAGAAGGCCTCTTGCATGACTGGCTGCTCCTCTGAGCAGGGTTCAGGCAAAGGGCCTGTGAAGGGAAATAGTCCTGCTAGCATAAAGAGTTTTATTTTGGGACCTCTAAGGAAGCCTTAGTGCTTTTTTCCTGGTGGATAATTGCTCCATCAGATAGAACATGGAGATGTGTAGACGTTTAGGACAGTAATTGGCCATAGGTGATACATAAGGAGAAAAGGAAAAGCTAAGTAATTTCATTAAAAGCTGGGTATTTGGAAAAACATTTAAAGACTGAAAATAGACTACAGTGGAAATTAAGCTGCAAGACATGACATAGCATCAGAGTTCCTCTGTGTAACTGGTGTTTCTGAACCCATGTCCCTCTGCCAAGAGAGTCTCAAAGACCGCAAGACAGTGTGTGAAGTGGACTGCTGTTAATATTTATAACTGTCCCTTAGAGGTACCTGTGGGTAGTCACTGGTCCACACAACTTCTGCTCAAAGTTCTTCCTGCTTAAGGTTTTACGATTTGCTTCACATCTTTTTTTTTTAAACTTATTTAATGCCTTATGGTTCCCCTGTGAAACTGTGGGCGAATTGAAAACAACTTCTGAAAGGAAAATTGGAAAGGAAAACTGATCATGTTTTCTCATGTGCCAGACTCCCCAGTAGGTCTTGATTTGTATCAATACCCTCCTTCCTGCCAATTTTAAACCTTAAGGAGATGAAAGAGGTCAACAACTCAGCTGCAGAAGGTGCAAACATCTCCCTTTCACTCCATTTCCTACCTTCATAAGAAAATTCCTATTGAACAGTAGACTGTAACCTCTTGCAGAGCAAAGCACTATCAGTGTGTATGATCATCATAAGACCCAAATGAAGATGTAAAAATCCAAATTCTTTATAAGCACCTCACAGCTAGCATGCTCTGCTCCCAGTGCTCTGAAATACAAAATAAAGACAGGGGAAGCTTCATCATCCTGGTTTCACAGGGGGAGAACTGAATCATCTCAGAAGAAAGATTAAAAAACTAATTTATCTCACAATACAGGATCTGATCTCCCTCTCTCTTTTCTACCATGTGGCTCAGGACAAACTGAACTCAGAGAATGACACTGGAAATGAGGGAAACCTATTGTTTCCCAGCTCTGCTAAAATATTCTTGGATGTTATTATTGCTAACAATCAAGGAATAGTCACACAAGACCCAGATAACACCAAACAGCAAAGCCATGGGAACTCAAAAGCAGTTCAAGGAAATCTCACAGAAAAGAAAGAGAACAGTTCACTATGGCTTTGAGAACAAAAGCAGTCTTCTGTGAATGCTGAAAATACATAGGCAAACTTCAGTGACAATTTGGAATGCACCAGGAGAGAACATTCCCCCTCCCACGTGGTGATGAGCTGAGCATATGAATATACAGAAAAATTAGCTCCCTCATTTGCCTTCAAGAGTCCATCCAAGGATATAGATGACATCTGCCTGGCTTCAAAGGACCAGGACTTTACAAAGCATGAATCATGATATCAGTGTGTCATCCAACAGTGATTTCCGGGGGAAAAAAACCAACCAAGATTCAAGCTTAATTTGTCAAAAACAACAACTTCACCATTTTTCTACCTCTGCTCTTACTCAGTATTTTTTTGAACAGGAGTCAAGAAGCAACTTTCAAACCTGTATACTTGGAAATAACACTGGATGACCAACTGTGTGCTGGGAATCCACCTCTGACTTGCAAACATGGAAATGTCCCCCTGAGCAAGTCTGCAGGCTCTGTTTGGGAGCACCAGCAAACCATGATTGTGTGGATCAGCAAGTTCTGCAACTCAGTGTACTCCATGTGGCCACATTTCTCCCAGATGAAACTCGTTCACTTACAACTAAGCTGAACTGTTAAATAACTAAGAGAGTTACCGACAAAATCAAGGGGTTATTGTGTCCTTACAACTGAGTCAACAGCCTAAAATCCATCCAGGGAACATCAGGCCTTTTTCACAGCAGAGCAGGGAAAGAACCTTTAAGAACCTCTTTCCTCCTCACCTGTCCTCAGGCACAGATGTCTCGCTCCAAGGCACAGATGTCTCGCTCCAAAGCTCCCCTGGCCATGCCAGCTGTGGCACAGCTCTCCTCTCAGGAGGAGAAGGTGCAGCAAGCACCTGAGTTACAAACCACCTTCTAGGTAGACACAGAAGAGCCAAAGATGCCAGACATCTCCTGAAGGAACACTCATTCAGCGTTTGTATTATGAGGGGAATTCAGCCTTCACACTGCTGACTGTCAGAACAGTACAAGTGTCATGCCTTAAGTAATGATTGATTTTTTCCCCCTACTTGTACTTCATTTTCCTCTTCTGTTTTTTTATCTGTATATAACTTACGTCTTTTCCATCTTCCCTGCATTAGTAGTACTCTTCTTAGAAACTTGGTACAATGCATACTCAGGATGGGACCTTTGATGGAAAATAAAGGACCAGAGCCAGGGACCACATCATTGTCATGTATCCATGGGGACAGTGTGTGCAGGCACAAGCAGTGTGGCTAGCTGAGAAGACACTGTACAGCCACTGGACTTGCTTGCTCTTGACTTCTCCTTGACCATGACCTTAGGAAGATGGTGTCCAGAAATGTTCTGGCAGGTTATGGGCCTTTGTTTATTCCATCTCCCCTCATGAAGGGGTCGTTTTGGCAATGAAACTCTTGTGTTATGCTGGTGGTTGAGGAAGTGTGTAGGGGAACAAAGAGGAAACCTTTCCTTGGTTAGTGAGGCATACTTGCTTCTTTGTACGTTTGTTTCAATCTAATCATAAATTACTTCTTTTAAAAGATGAAAAACAATTTTGTTTGACAAGAGGGGCAGGAAGGAAGAGCAGGCTGGAGCCCCTCTGCTCTGGAGCCAGGCTGGGAGAGCTGGGGGTGGGGGGGGTGTCACCTGGAGAAGAGAAGGCTCCAGGGAGACCTGAGAGCCCCTGCCAGGGCCTAAAGGGGCTCCAGGAGAGCTGGAGAGGGACTGGGGACAATGACCTGGAGCAACAGGACAAGGGGGAATGGCTTCCCACTGCCAGAGGGCAGGGTTAGATGGGATATTGGGAAGGAATTCCTGGCTGTGAGGGTGGGGAAGCCCTGGCACAGGTTGCCCAGAGAAGCTGTGGCTTCTGAAAGTGTCCAAGGCCGGGTTGGGCAGGGCTTGGAGCAACCTGGGATAGTGGGAGGTGTCTCTGCCCATGGCAGGGGGTGGGATTGGATGAGCTTTAAGATCCCTTCCAACCGAAGCACTCTGTGATTCTGTGATGATTGCGTGGTTATCGATGCATTCTCCAGGCAGTCTCAGCAATGTAAAAAGGTAGGAGTCAAGGGATACAGATTCTGCCCCTTGTTCTAACATGAACAGAACAGTCACCTCACCTCACCTCTTCACTGCTCATCAGTAATGTAACTACCAGGGGGTTTTTGCAGATTGTGCATTGTGACACCTGGATGGAAACACTAGACAAGTGCAGTGTTACTACTCTAATATTACCTACCTCTTAGGGAACTTAGTACTGTGCTTAAGGTGAGGAGGGCAATAGAAACTTTGCTTTAGAAGCTTCTGGAGGCATGACATTACTTCTGCCTCATAATACTTTTTCAGAAAGAAAAAGTAGGGCTACAAATCCCATTTATTTCACCTTCCCTTTGTTTTAACCTTCTGTATATTGTTTTTTATTATTTCTGTAAGATATTTAGCTATTCATCATCTTTGCATTTCACATAGTGGCCTGCCTTAAATAGAAATTTTTAAATTTCAGATTAAGTGTACATTTTCTGTATAAAATATTTAAATTATTATTATCATTAATACAGCTGTTTTCTGTGTTGGCAAAGGGAATAAGAAAGAGGACATCTGTGTAAGTGAGCCAAGAGCATGGGGAAAAAAAAAGTAATATGAAACACAGCTGAGAGAGAACAGATTTAAACCTAACATTGAGCCTCTGTTTCAGGCAGTACCACTGTGCCCAAATATGAATTCAAGAACACATCCAGCACATTATAATAAGGATAGACAGGTTTTACAGATGTTCAGTCTGTAAATGTTGAGATGCCTATGGCATCTTGCCACTACAGAAATTCAAGAGAAGAACTCATTAAAAACAAGTCTGCCATTCTGCTTGCAGGTTTTGTTCTGGTTATCGGACTGGTGACGTTCTACCGCATCGGGCCATACACCAATCTCTCCTGGTCCTGCTACCTGAACATTGGAGCCTGCCTTCTGGCCACGCTGGCGGCTGCCATCCTGATCTGGAACATCCTGCACAGGCGCGAGGACTGCATGGCCCCCCGCGTCATCGTCATCAGCCGCACCCTCACCGCCCGCTTCCGCCGCGGCCTGGACAACGACTACGTGGAGTCACCGTGCTGAGGAGAGCACTGCAAAGGGGAAGGATCTCCAAGGAGATCTGCACTGGAGTTGGTTTTCTATAAATATATGCTATAATTTAAGGGTTGAAAGACATCACAACGCTCACTCTTGTGGGCAGAGGCCCTCGATTATTATTTGGATGGGCTCCATCGATATATATATATGTATAAAACACATAATGTTATATATTTTATATTATATTGCCCTCTCCCTCTGCTGTACAGCACAGAATGTTGGATTGTCAGAATCCTGACAGAGCATGGCAGCTGCATGGCAGCAGGGTCAGCCGGAGAAGACACCGAGTGTGTGCAATGAGAACACAGGAAAGAGGGAACTAAACACGTTTTCTCTGTCTGCATCAAGTTCTCCTACTCCCTAATAATAAAGTAAAAAGCTATAGGCTTTGGAGTTAACAGGCAATCTGAGAAAGCAGAAAACTCACTATAGAATAAGTGATGGGTTTAACAGCTGTTCAAATTTCATGACTCTCTAGTCCTTCCATCCACCTCTCTCCAAGGAATGGATTCACTTTAGCTGTAACACCTGCTCCCAGCCCCAGCACAGCCCAGAGAGTAAAAGGCAAAAGCAACTCTATTTCAATGTAAAGAAAGGGAATGCAGAAGAATTGACTTGCATTTTTTCAGACACTTCTTTTGTATCCTGAGACAAAGGTTTGGGTTTGTCCTATTTGTACACAGACACTAAAAATGAGAAGGGTACGCAGCTAGAACAGGCCACATATGCTGCTGAAAAATCTACTTCAGTGTTACATTGAGGGCAAATATCTACAGGAGGTTTCCTGGACTCCCTCATAATCACAGATATGATCGACTTACATCGTTGGGAACTATTATTAAAAACAGATATTTCAGCTCAAATTGGTTTCTTTTCTTCCCAGTCAGCTTTAACATTTGCTGTGACATCAGAGTGCTACAGCAGGACACCAGCTCTGCCCAGCAGTGCTCAGAGGCACATACCACAGGGCATACAGAGAACAGAGCTGCCACTCAAGCACCCAAACTGCAAAGTAAGACACATAGACAGGGACTTCAGCATGAGATTTGAAAACAACCTGCCTGGTAACTTAATGTGGTAACCAAGTGAGAAATTAATCCCTTTGGAATTGGGCCTATTCTAAGCCTCACCCTGACAGGCACACGGGCTCACAAAAGTCCTGTGCATGTGATTTTCAGGAAGAAAGACAACACACCAAAAACTATTATGCAGGAACACTTGGGATACAGGAACCTGAAGCAATGACAGGTGTTTAAAAGCTCTCAGGATGCTGCTCTGAGCACAGTTAGTGACAGGTTTGAGGGACCACGAGCTGTGAATGTTACAAATCCCTTAGGACTGTTGTGTTGCTCCCAGCTGAGTACACTGCTTTGCTTCTCTATCACTATTTCCAGACTTTGTTAAAATGTGATCATCAAGCTGGCTCTTGAGTTCTGTTCTGCACTCAGTTTGGATGTGATAAGAAACTCAACCCCGACTGCTGCTCTGCACCACATTCCAAGTGAGCAACACCCAAAAGAGTCTGATACTCTAGAACAACTGCACTGCTCTAGACTATCAGGGTAAGCACCATAAAGCTGACAAAGAGTTTCTTCTAGAGGTAGGTTTGTAAAAACCAACTAAAATTAGTATTCATTTGCCTGCATTATTTTCTGGGGAAAAAAATAATTCCAGAAATAATATGCTATGATTAAATGCAGGGTTTTTTAAAATAAAATATTGTGGAGTATTTAAGAGACATTATATTATTTCTCCTAATATTGCAATATCCATATTATAATAATGTACGTTTAAATTTAAAAATCAGCTATGTGGCTGGTAAGTCTGTAATACTCGGTATTACTGTGATTATTTTAGATGTATAAATAAAGTTGTGAATGTTCCATTTTCTTCTAGCGATGACATGAGATTTTTGCCATTCAGACACAGGATTGGTTGCTGGTTATCAGTTATTCTTTCCTGTTCAGTAAAAAAGACTCACAGAGCTTGCAATGCCTTGTAGACAAAGAATAAGCAAAGAATGCATTAAGATGTCTTTAAAATAAATATTTTTCATCTTGTTAAAAATGAAAGGGAGAATGAAATCTGAGAGGGAAAAGGTAAGGAGAATTTAGAAGGATCAACACTTTACACAAACTTCGAACAAAAAATATACTGCACCCAAAAAGAAACACATACAAATAGTTCTGATACCTTTTTATCAGCTTGATGGATTTGAAGGCCTCATCCATGTCTCCAGTGGTCAGATAGAAGCTGAAGTTCAGCATGGCATCCTGGGTGGTCTTATCACAGTCTCCCAAGCCAATAAAATCTCTCATGGGTCTCCTTGCAGCCATCTGAGAGACCGTAGCTGAGCCAGGCTCTGGTGCTCCGTTCTCAGCATCTCCCAGCTAAAAGCAGGTTGGCATTTCAGGATCAGGCAGGTTGAAACTTATTCCTTTGTACATGTAATTAGTTACATTATTCCCACTACAGTCCAAGTTGTTTATTTCTGCAGGACCACGATCAATAGTGACAATAGTTGAGAGGTTTAAGAACTTCCTAGAAAATGCCCCAAAGTATGGACTATCATAGAAGAGATGAGCACATTGCAGTGAACAATCACAGCATGTCAAGTGATCATTTGAGGTTGGTATAATACCACAGAGAGGTAACCTCCTATTATTATAGTTATTATTATTATTATTACTACTACCACTATAATAGCAACAATTAAGTCCCCAGATTTCTGAAGATTTCAGATAAGCATTTCTCCAAGTTTAGTCTCCTCTCCAACATTAGTCTGCTGCTCTGTAAGTCAACTATACAGACTCAGTTCTTTTATCCTTGCCTTCATGTGAAGCTTCTGAATACTGCAGCTCAGGTTCAAACCCTTCCCTATATAACTACCAGTTCTGGAGCTTCAGGGATACTTTCACCAGTCACTGAAAGGCTGACAAAGCTCAAAGCAATTCAATCATTATTCAGAAGCAGAATAAAGTCTCAATCCTCAGTGTCAAATGATCTGTCTGGAGTGTAACAAGGAAGCTTCCCCAAGCCAAGCACAGTGGAAGATCCTCTGAGTCATGAAGGACACCAAGTTCCCCATACACTATACCTCCATTGTATATTTAGATAACTAAATATTAAGGTTTACAGAAGCCAACAAAAAATAGCATTATATTATTATACAGTGGAAGTCTTAGGTACAGTTAAAGACAGAAATCAAAAGCACAAATGTGTTTGACTAGAACTTGGGGAATTTCTGGAACTAGGACAGTAAAGACATTATAGTGAGTAAGGAGAAGCCCTGGAATGAAACTTGGTCAAAACAGGCTTGTTGCATCAGCTCAGTTTGCTGTATTTAAGCAGACTCTGTTCATATACTAAATCAGGCTTCCCAAATGAATTATTATGTAACAAGTGATTAAGTCGTGAGGAGACAACAACCTACCAAGGAAGAAAATGGAAGCAGAAGAGAGAGGAGCAGAGGATGAAGGAAGAGGAGCAAAACAATGCAGATACTTACAGGTTTATAGACACATCCCCTCCGAAAACACAACTAATGGCAGCAATAATCCATACAGAGTTAAAAAAAAAAAAGAAAAGGACATAATATCAAAGTAAAATAGCATGAGACATGTTGGGGAAGTGTTAAAAGAAAGACTGGAAAATGTAGCATATCATATTTGACCTTTCAAATTGAGAGAAAAAGGAAAGCAAAACAGAGTACAACTCTAAAAGCTTGATCTGCACAGAAAGGGTGACAAGAGGCCGTGCTTTGAAGGGGATGAATTGCAAAGTGCTGCTTTGAATCTGAACATGTTAAGTAGAAAAACATCTACATGTATTTTCCCTGTTTAACACTGCTCTTAAACTACATGAAATTAGGTTTGCATGACCCAACTGGCCTTAGTCAGATGATTTAGAGGATTAGAAGTCTCATTAATATTAATTTCCTGCAGGTTTTACAAAACTATGTGCCTTAGTGGAACAAACACCCTGTTACACTCCCCTGCAAGACAGGAACCGAGGAAATCATCATCCTGAGAGGCACCAGGAAACTCAGGTCAGAGCTTCACCAGAAACCAATTTGTAGGTAAAAGGCTGCAGCTCTCCCAGTATGGAAGGAATCATGCAGGGGATTCTTTACCTGAGATGCAAACAATTTTGGATTGAAATTCAAGTTTAAGAAGTGAGAGCCTGCACTTCTGGCATTTGCAGTATTTGGTGATGGTGCAAGATGACTATTCTTGCTCTCTTAGGTTTCTTGGTGATTAAGCTCCATTCCAACAAGGAAATGGATTGCTTCTGCCAAAGCGAGTAGGAAATGTTCTCTCTTACAGCCTACATAAAGCTCACACACACACACCCCCTGTACTTGCAACAGGCACAGTGAACAGATAAAGCAGACTTTTTTTCACATCCCTTTTAAGTTGCATTCCCTGGTAACTCCTGTGTCTCCTACACTTGCACGTCACATCCAGTCTGCAATATCCACAAAAAGCCAAATCACTGCAAATGCCAAGATCCTGCCAAGTTCACCTGCATTAGAATTCTCTTTATGTCATTTCTACATGTGATGCAGCCACTGCCATTGGAGTTCCTCTACTCACCCCAGACTCAATTTGGTTAAATTTGATCCCTATGCAAAGTCTGAACTTCTGGAAAGGGAAGCAATTGTTAAAGATTGCCTCACCTTTTTTGCAAAGTAATAATGTGGCACCTCTATGCCCAGTAGAACCTCATAGGATGAAGGCAATGGAAAGCTGTCCTGCAGCAAAAGGCCATGCTCTTCAGTGCTGAAGAATGATATAATCCAAACATCCATCTGGAAAAGGAAGCAAAGCATTGTTTTGTTTTTATGCTGCAATATCCTTCTTTGTTTTTATTTTCCATATTCACTTGGCAGAAGCTTCTCTTGAAAATAATATGACATATCCATTGGCACACATAGCTGCTGGGGAGGGCAGGGCCACAGGCTTCCTCCCTCCTGTGAGCAGCCAGGGACTCCCTCTGCACAGGCACCTCGCAGCAGCCACTTTCACCCACTACAGAGAGAAAAGCCCCAGGCCACAGCTGCTCCAGGAGCCTCCCTGACAGACCCGGCTCAGGGCAAAGAAGCAGAATCACAGAATCATGGAATGGCTTGGGTTGGAAGGGACCTGAAAGCTTATCCCATTCCACCCCCTGCCATGGGCAGGGACACCTTCCACTAGACCAGGTTTCCCCAAGCCCTGTCCAACCTAGCCTTGGACACTTCCAGGGATGGGGCAGCCACACCTGTTTTTTTTTTTAAAAAAAATTATATCATTGCTATTGTAAGTTCAGCAGCTCACTGATTGCTTTGAGATCCCAGGGAATAGTTCCTGTAACAGCTGAAATATTGACTTGACTCAAGTCAAAGTAACACATTTATTTCCAACAGAAGTCAATCAGACTTCTCATTTCTTAAAGCATATGCAGACAGTAAAAGGTTCTGTTGAATAAGGGCCAAAAAGTAAGTTGCATTCCTTTTCTATCTTCTTATTTTTTCAACTTTATGTAGCAGCCGAACATTTTAAGTTTTTTACATGAGGAATATTAGGTTAAACTATTCTCCCCTGACTAGAAGACCTTACCCAGGCCTTTTGAGACATCCCTATTCCGCTACTCCCCATCTTCTCATGATCTTTCTAAGGTCATTTCAACAAATAAAAAGACACAAAGAGCTTTCTATTTCTAATCTTAAGAGATTTAATTAAAATAATGCACGAATCGCAAAACTTGAGATCAACATGGACATTTCAAATCAACTGAACGTTTATGCAGGACAGGTAGTTCTGTATGAGAGGTAAGGACCTCTACAAGCACAGTAGCAGGGGAAGAGGGGAAGAATTCTTGGTGTGATAAAAGAAATCTTTGATTAGAAAATTTCTGATCAATAAAAATAAATCTTTTTTCTAATGTAAAAGAGATCATAACAGATAGTTTGGGAAGTCTCAAAGATGTCCAATATCTGTCCAGAAAAGCTGAAGATGGGAAGGACTGGGTGGGAAGAGCATATTTCTCTGTTCACTTAACAACAGTGTCCCTGTTATTCTACCAAATTCATTCTTGCTGCTAAAAGTGGACTCAAGATATAAAATCAGCATTTTAAGTTAAGAACTTGTACATTATCAATCCACCCAATAATGTCACCTGAAAAACTCTCCTCCAGATACAAGCTTGCATTATGGTCATCCCCAAAATTCTAGCAGAGATAAAGAAATCCCCTCTTTGTCCTCTTTACTGTGTGCAAGCTGGGATCAAACCAGAGAGCTGCCATACAGTGTCTGAAGCACAGACACCAAACACAGGCTTTCACCACTCATTTTTGTACCAGATTATGGGTACTACCCTCTCCCACATCCTAAAACAAATCCAAGGATTTATTACTTGGACAGGGAGAACTCCACGTAAAGCAAGATAAAACCAATAAAAAAGACTGTACGGTGCTCTCAGCCTGGTTTTTCTTCTGGTCTGAAGACTGGAGTCCTGTTTCAGGAATTGCTTCACATACAAAAAGCCTTGGTTCATACTGGTCCCAGAAATGGCAAGCAGGGATGTGATTGTGCAGCTCTGGATACTCCACTACAGACCTACCAAGAGACAAGAAAAAATGTAGAAAGGGAGACAAAATAATTCCAGCGCATTCAGTGCACGAGTGTAAATAAAGCATGTAATTTATTCTCCGTATTGCAGCATTAACCAGACACATATTCCTGCCTCTACACTTCACACATGGCCACAGCACTGTTAGTTTGGTCTGTGTACACTGACCACATTTTCAGGACACGTGTTTTCTACATCTCTGTAAGGCAAGAGCTGGTACTGCCACAAACACAAACAGGCACCCAAGATCTGCCTCTCTGAGACTCCAGGTCCTACAGAACACCCTTCAAACAATCCACCTCAGTGACTGCTACTGGTGTGGGTGCTACAGCACAGGGGTTACCTCAGCTCGGTCTTGAAATCATGGAATCATTACAGTTGGAAAAGCTCTCTAAAATCACCAAGTCCAACCATCAACCCAGCACCCCCACCATGTTCACCAGTAAACCACGTCCCCAGGTGCCTCATCCACACATTTTTTGAACGCTTCCAGGGATGGAGACTCCACCACTGCCCTGGGCAGCCTGTTCCAATGCCTGACAACTCTTTCACTGAAGAATTTTTCCCCAATATCCAACCTAAACCTTCCCTGGCACAGCTTGAGGCCTGTTGATTCTACCCAGAAGAAGATACCAAGCCCCACCTGGCTGCTGCGTGTGAAGAATTCCAAGGCACTGTGGAACAGCACATTAAGCACCAGGAGAACCCCTGCAGCCTTGGGAAATCCACTCTGAGGCTGTAGTTTAAACAATAACATTTTACTGCCTCCTTCAGGCATTTCAATATTACTTCAGTGCAGGCCATGTCAAAACTCCAGACACACAGAATCAGATTATTTTAGCAATGGCTTAGTATTCTTCTGAAGAAATACAAAATATTGGGAGGCGTCAAATTTTTTAAAAGAGAAACCAAAGACAGCATCAAAATATTTTCTCATTTGCTGTCACCACCGAAGGGTCAACTTTGTGGGGAGGGTTGGAATAGGGCTGGAAGGCAAATTAAAAGGGATTCAAAGGGCTGCAGAAATACCCAAAGTCGTTTCCCTGCCACATAATTCAAAATAAATAACTTGCAAACTGAAAAGGAGTATTTGAGTAAAAAACCTGGGACTGTTTAGAGTTTGCCTCAGGAGGAGGGAAAGAGAAGCAGAAGAGGCAGAGATTATTATAAGTTTCTGGTGAGTTTACTCACTCTGATTTGAAGATCCTCTAAAATGAAGTGCAGATAAATGGATTATTCACATTGATGCTCAAATAGCAGTGAACCAGCAGTACTGGCTTGGGACAGCCTCTGTTGGGCTACACAACTTACTGCAGCTGGAAAGAATTTCCTCACAACTCATACACTACACTGCTGCATAACTGACCAAGACTCAAGACCCCAGATTTGCACTGGCCTTAGTTTTTGGTGAGCTGAGTGGTGTCTTCTGGTTTTCAGTGCTAAGAGGAGTAATTCCACTTTTTTTTGCTTGTAATATCCATAGCAGAGAGTTGCTAAAAAAACAATCTACCTATTCCAATGCTGGCTTTTCTTAAGAAAAATACAGTCAGAAAAATTACTGTAAAACCAGATGGGAATTTGGAATTTGTACCGTAACACTCCACAAGAATTCCTACTTCATTGCATTGTGCTCCTAGGATTTCTAGCACTGCATTTCCCACAAAACAGTTTGCATGCACAGTTCTAAATAGACATTTCATGAGTTTTTACCCATGCAAAAACATCCCTTACTGCACTTTAAAAATATTTTTTCCAACAAGGACCTTCAGAATGTCCTCTTTTCAGTTCCTATCATGTAAACTCTTCAAGGAAGAGTAGCTTTCCAAGATTTTTCTTTATTTTAAGATTTGGATCCTAGTTCCAGTCATGCAATACCTCTGCACATACCCCCCTACACTCAGTCACACTCCCCTTAGAGACCTCTTGAGCCATGTGTGGATTCCACACAGCTAATAACTCTCCCTGCATTTCTCTTCTGTGAATTTGCCCAATACCTCCATGAGCCCTTCCTTCATCATCTCTAACTTCCTTTGGCAAGGAGTTCCTTAGCTCAGCTGCAGGTTGGCTGAAGAACCACCTCCTCCTGCTTATTTTGCATTTGCTTTCTGGTCCCTTCGTCTGGCACTCCCTGGCAGCTCACAGTGCAGGGATGCAGCCTGATGGACATACAATGCACCACCTTTAATTAGTTCTCTAGAAATAAAAATAATTAAGTTCATACAAGCTCCTACACAAGACAGAGGAATGTCAGTATCAAAGTGTGCTTGTCTTCACAGGCCAGATTCCCATCTTAAATCCACCATTAATGCTTTTTGAAATAAAGCTCCTTACTTGCCAATGCCTTGTCCAGTAAAAAGCTTCTCTCCACCATCTTCCTGTTCAGCCTTGAAATCAAAGACCGTAACTTTGTCCATGTCAACATCAAAGAAACAAATCTTGGAATCAATGTTCCCATCTGCCTACAAGAAGGGAAAACAAAAAGTTCCTGAAGCACTCAGTCACAAAGGAAAAAAGGTATGTTTACCTCATCTGCTTCATGCTCTCAGCTTTCTTTACCGGTAATCACACAAGGACATTCTCAGGAAGGAATACCAGAAAACTTCTGGCTGTTTTTCTATTCCATCAAGTCAGCCTCGGCTTTCTTTGAAATGCTACAAAGCAGCTTTCTTAACTAAAATACTCCTTCCTTTTCTGGGTTGTTCCTATCACAGGTACAAAGCCTTAAGAGACCTTAATTTTAGTCTTTAGTTACACGTTGGGACACAACACTTCATGACGTGACTCAACACACTGCATGCACCATGCAGGTTTGTTTCTGAGAAGTGAACCCTGAGCCCTCAGCAACCTTGCCCTGCACCAGAGGTGGGGGTGAAGGGCTGACCTCACCTTGCTGAGCAGGATGCTGACTTTGCTGCCATTGGCATTGCACTTGACAGACGAGATGCTCCCACGGCCAGGGAGCAGCTGGGATAAGTCCTTGCTGTTGCAGTGCACTTTAGCCTCTCTGGGGGAGGGAATAAACTTCAATCACATGGTGGCAAACAACTGGTAATATGCATCAGCCAAAACATTTTGCAAATTATGGGTAAGACTTTCAAAAACAAACTATTTCCACTGTATGACACCACTGCCCCAGACTGCAGCTTCCTCCCCAGAGGACTGCTGCCACTGCCTTTCCTTCAGGAATAAGTTAATGGACACTCTTTCCTCAATGAATCAGCAAGAATAAACTCCAACGCTTCTACAGGATTCCCAAAATACAGCAAGAACACCTGACCAGAGTTCTGAATTCAGAGGCCTGTTTTTCCTGCAGAAGTAAATTGAACAGTACTATGAATGTTGAATAGAGCCCATCACACGAAAGTTCTGTGCATGGAAAGCACACCATGGAGCACGAGTAAAGAAATGTCATTGGTGGGGGCTATTTATATATTTTCTTATCTCAAAAGAATCTTAATGCTGGTATAGAGATAAACCTAGCAATCAGTCAGCAACAAAGGACAAATCTCATGAAACAAAACAATGTGAAAAAAAGTGACAGTGATTTAAGTGACAGCAATTTAGACCTATAATGCAATTCCATGAAAAAAACCCCTTTGATTCTGTAGAAATAATGTTCTTGGGTTACCTGTTTAGACCTCTCGTTCGTTCTAGCCCAATTATGGTGCTTTGAAATTAAAGAGTGCTATACTGTCATCATTTCAGAAGGGGTATTTTCAGTACCAAACACAAAAATTTCACACAGCATGCATGAAGCTACTTTTTCTCCATATCCAACATCATAATCCAATACCTGTGCTAGTTACAACCTGCCCAAATTCAAAAACCTTTATACGATTTCCCAGGTGGAATCTGTGTGATCCCAACGTAGGTAGTTTCCAGTGGGTAACTAACTAGACTTTAGCACTCCTGGTGACAGCATGAAAGGAAGAACAGAAACTATTTCAGTCTTCAGCTTTTTCCACTTTTCAAAATTACATTTGTTATAGTAGTTAAATTTCCTAACTGAAGGACATGTCATTACATATCTTTTTCATGTTTGTCAGCATGGGAGCATAATGAAGTTTGAAGTCAGGTAAACTTCTTTCTTAACCTAAACAGGAGGAAGAATAGATCTAGTGTTTGGTTATAGGTTCACTTTCTCTGTGGGTTCCTGAAACAAGTTTGCTGATTTATGAGGAGATATGGAGTTTCTTTAGTTCAACTCTTCTGAGACTAAATTCTTGTTCAAGTTGTCAGAAGAAACATGGGGCATCCTTGTCTTGATCTTCCATAAATGTTCCACTCACTTTTAAATCCACAGAAATATGACTCACAGTATCCTCTTTTAAAAATAATAATGATCATCATCATCCCATGACTCGTCCTAATTATCCCATGGCTCTTTCCTTGCTTTAGGCCATCAGCTCCCATAGGCTGCATGTATTGCCTCAAGATTCAAAAGGGGCTGTTGCTTTTCATCAGATCAAAACCAATCACAGACTCCCCACAAAATACATGCTCAACTATAAACAGATAATTTAAAAAGCCTTATTACTACCTGCGCGAGAGATCGAAGATTTTCAAGTGAGCCAAATCAGTTCCCACAGCCAGGAAATTCCCACAGACATCCAGGAGGCATGGACTGCCCTCTGCTTCAGAGAACACCAGCAGCTGCTTAACTGTGCCCTGGGAAGAAACATGAAACACCAGGTTTGTGTGGCCACAGCCTCACTAGAAGGGACTTATTTTATCACCAAGTCACAAACTGCTCAACTTCTGTGTTAGGCAAATCACTCCCAGCAAGGTGGAGAAACTCCACACACACACATACACAATCCCTCCAAATGCAATCTGTGTTTCAGGTATGTAGCCTCAAAACCAGTCTAAATTTAAAAGGCATCCTTCTGTGATAATGTCCTCTTCAATAACACAACCTTTTCCAACTGAGAGGGAGATAAATACGGGTCTCTGAAGGTCCTTAAATATAAAGCTGCAAAAATAAATACATTATATTTATGTATATAAATCACACCCATTCTAAAATACAATATTTATTTCCTAAATAAAATGAGGTATCATAAAACTCTGATCATTAGATTTCTCGTTTTGGTTCTTACAAATTAGCAGAGGCTGCAAAGGTTCAGCAATAGATTTTGCAGAACACACAAAATGCGCAGGGGGTATTTTTCATTATCTTGTAAGAATATTCAGTATGTTCATCTTCCTGTCAGTAATATACATATTCGACCTGCATACAATTTTGATCCTCTTAAAGTCTGTAAATACTTCTTAGTTACAGTGCAGTAATGTTCAAATTGACAGACTTTTTAAAGAACACAAAATGTCAAAGATCTTTCTGCTGAAATACTCAATATATTTTTTCTATAACAAAGGTATAAATCTATAACAGATTTGGAAAAATCACCCACTTAAGTATCAAGGTCTAACATCAATCTTTGAAAATAAGGCATATTTGTCCCTTCATGGTTTCATCAGCCCTCACCTGCCAGGTGCGGACCTGGACCCGATACGGCTCCACCGTGTACAGATTTTCTCCATGCACAGATAGAACTGGAGAGTCACAAGGAAAAGAGCCTGGAACAATCACAACAAAGCCATCATTACAATAAATGGGTTCCATAAAAAGGGAAAAAAATAACTTAAAAAGCACTCAATTTCCACTGTCTTCCACCAAATCCCTTTTTCAATCTGTCAGTTTGTATTGATTCCTAAACTCACTGTTGCTGCCTTCTCCATTCAACACCTGGAGCTCCCACTGTAAACAGTTGTGTGTACACTCTCCATGGAAACAAGTGGGAGAGGAAGGGAAAAGAATTGTTATGGGGAGTGAAAGAAAGACAAAGGCAAGTGCCATGTGAGGTTCTGGTAAGAGAATTCACTCCTTCCTTCATCAAACTGCAACAGAAGAGGGACAATGGAATCTACAGCTTTGCAATCACTTCAGGAGTGGTGTAGATTGTTGGGACCGTGGTGGTAATAACACAATGATTCAGCATGGAAAATTATAAATAAAGGAGTAGATACAGACAAGATAAGGCACTTAGCAGAAAACAGTTGACGGTTCTTATAAGACAAATCTCATGATTTTGGATGGAACTGATGGAATTCCACATCACTTATTTTTCAAGGCAGAAATATTTAGGGAGAACTAATCATTTAAAAAACTAATTTACTTTACTTGGCTCTATATACAGAAATTTATGGGACAATTTTTCCTGAGAGATGGGATTAGAACTCTTTTTCCCAGTTCTTATGTGTAACCTCAATGACACTTTCTCCCAAGCAAAGTGGAAAAGCCTTCAATAGCCATTGACATGTCCTACCCGTAAAGGCAACAGGAGCCACAGGTACAAAAACAAGAAAAAATTCTGTTCTTGATCAACTGTTGGAATGATGTACTTTAAAAAAAACATTAAAAGAAGCAGTTCTATCCTCATACCGTGTTTTGTGCAGATAGAAGTTTGTTTCCTCAAGCCTTGAGTTTTTTTCCACTCTAGAGGAAGTTGTTGCTGCCCATGGCAGGGGGGTTGGAATGACATGAACTTTAAAGTCCCCTCCAACCCAAACTCTTCTGTGATTCTATGATTATAGTCCATTAGGTACCATGTATGAAGAGAACATATAACTCTGGAGGAAAAGAAACATTGCAACTCTGACCAGTGTTTTAAGTCCTACCTGCACTTCTGAAGGTATCTCCTGAACACTCAAAGACAATCACCTGCTTCCCATTCCAGAATACTAGAGCATCCTAGAACAAACAAAACACCAAATGAATGTGTACACTCAGTACCTTTGGAAACAATACACAATGCACACAATACACAGCAAGAACTCCCCCACAATAGCCACCATTTACTAATTCCTCTGTACATTGGCTTGGAAGGGTTTTGGTAATCCAGAAGCTCTCCGGGTTCTGGTCAGCACCAAGAGACCTCCTGAGTCCCTGTGCTATCTGAAAAACCAGCTCCACCACAGCACCACTGCTACCATTACAACACTACCTCTGTAACACATTAAGCTGAACATCAAAGAAAGTTTATCTTAAAGACTTGCAATGTTTAGTCTCCATCCACCTAACTGGGCAAATGATTAAGCAAATAAATGAAAAAAAAAAAAAAAACAATTAACCTTAGTAGCAAAGACTCCATTAACATTCATATCAACACGGAGGCTGTGCGTGGCTCCTGTGCTGAAGGTGGTCACATTGAACAGGTTGGGAGACACCTGAACCACGGCCACCTGCTGATGAAAATGCGCTGACATGGCCTGTTCGCTGAGGATCACCACGGAGCTCAGGCTGTTCACTGCCAGCAGGTTTTTTCGGGAGCCCCACTGTACAGAATGGGGAAAGAAACACACACTCTTTCATCCATGGTCTCAAACAGTCACAGTAATGTCCCCAGAGACATAACATGGGGAACGACATAAATAAATAAATAAATAAACATTTTTATCCATACATGAAGTCCTACTATCTAAATACAACTATAGGCAATGACTAGGAACTATTACAGATTCAAACTATTATGCTTGTTATCCAGCTACTCGGACTCCCTTACTCTAAGCAAAGGAGGTGGTTTTTAAATTCAAACCACTTCTTTTTCTAAGATACCGTTGCACCACCTTACATTTACTGCTGCAAGAGAGCATCATGCATTAAACAGGTTTAATAACTCTTTGTAATATCCAACCTGAGCCTGCCCTAACACAGCTCCAGCCATTCCCTGGGTGCTGTCCCTGGTCCCCCCAGAGCAGAGCTCAGTCCTGCCCCTCCTCTGCCCCTGCCCAGGCAGTTGTGACTGCAGTGAGGTCTCCCCTCAGTCTCCTCCAACTGAAAACACCAAGTGCCCTCAGTGTCCTCACACGGCTTCCCCTCAGGGCCCTGCACCATCTTCATTGCCCTCCTCACAACAAAAATAATCCAGAGTTTCCATAATTAAAGACAGCTTGATGAGATAAACCCACTATGCTTGTTGACAATTGTTTGGCAATGCTTTTGTTTAGGCTCCCAAACATTGGGAGCAAGGCGCTATTTCTGGACAGTGCTTTGTATCCTGTTATCTGGAAAAGGCTTGAATGGGCAAGCTGACACAAACACCTATATCTCTTCTATTCCCTCAACTTACTAGCAGATGTATGAGATACTCATGGCACACACTATTGCCTATATCCTGCACCTTTTGTTACTGAAGCATGTTAATAAAACACTTGGATTCTCTACTTTCACAGCACTTCTGATTGAACTTTGTAAGCAGGACTGTGTTGTGGACCCTCACTCTGCACCAAACCCAGGAAGCAAATGCCATTGCTTTTTAAATACTTTCCACTCCTATGTGAAAACAGAATAACAACAAATATAAAATTACTTTCTCGTGAAAGGCACCAGATATATGTTTGATTTTCTTTCCTTATGAAAAATAATGGGGATTGTTCTCACATATGAAGCCAGCAATAGAATGATATAAAGAATGACAGAAACACTCAAAAATTGAAAAAACTTAGCAATATGGTATAAAACCTCAACAACCAAAAATGCTGGAGAATCTAAAGCACAAGCTTTGCCTTTCAGTAGAATGGTGGTGGTTAAAAAAGTTGTTTATTAAAATAAAACTTTTTGAAGTTAAATTCATGATTGTTACACTCAGTATTTCTCTTCTGCATATATCAAAATGCTATTAGGTATAGAATGACACTGTTTAACCTCACTGTGACAAATGAAAATATTCCAAATAAATAAAAATGCTGCACCCTGACACTTAACAGACAATGGGTTAAAATATATTATAATGCTGTATCTTATTATAGCCTTCAGCATTAAAAATAGTGTAAATAGCAGTAGAGATGTTTTAAAGCATTTGGTTTACAAATTTGTAAGAGAAAATTTATTATTCCCATCTAGTCTGACACTATCACACATAAAATTATGTGGAAAACAAGAAATGTTTTTCGGAGGAAAAAGCAGCTAGAAATACCATTTTGTGCATAAAAACATAGCATTCCCTTCTAGATGGACCATCGTCTCACCTAGACATATTTGGTTGTAAATACATCTTTTTATTTTTCACAACTAGCAGCAAGAGCAAACTTTTAGGTCGAGAAATTGGCAAAACCAAAAAAATTATTGATGAACAAAAGCATGCCTTTACTCAGCTTTTCTTGCTTGTTATTTTAATAGATTTACGTAACATTGACATTCCTGACAACCTTTCTTTTCCAGAAGATGACTTCAGGGTGCTGAATCCAAAGGGTTTGTCGATGAGACATATGATGGAGAGACTAGCTACAAACAGGGAATATTTCTGCCCATTTCAATTTAAAAGTTGCTTCATTTTCATGTTTTTTCCTCCTAAGGAGGACTAACCTCTGGTGGGACACATATCCTTATGAGAGTGATCGTGTTCATTTGTTTCACGAAGGTGATCTATTCATCTAATGGTTGTGAAGTCCCACCAACATTCAAGGAAGCTCTTTCCTTTCTTACCTTTATCTGAGTGACATTTCCCTCAAGTTCTGTGGATGCCTGGAACTTCCACTTCTCCTTGCCCTCCAAAGCCCGTGTGCTCTGGTTGGATCCTGCTGTTTTCCTCCACATCGCCACTCTCCCTTTGCTTGTCCCAGCGGCCAAGAGCCCTGCCATTCACAAACACCTCAACCTCAGGGGAATGTAGACAATGTAACAGGCAGTCAACTCCAGTTCTCAGGTACTGAGAATCCACCTTGCACAGAACTCTTTTTTGCCTCACTGCAAACCAACATCCTAGCCCTGGCCTGGGGAATCTTTGTTGAGAAACAATAAGAGATGTTCCACATGGCAAGGTGCACCTTTTAAGCTACCAGATGAAGTTATCTTTTAAATGTATCAGATAATGACTTCATTTTAACCATTTCTCAGAATATAGAACCATAGAATATCCTGAGGTGGAAGGGACCCTCAAGGATCATTGGGTCCAGCTCTTGGCTCTGTACAGGACACCCCAACAATCCCACCATGTTCCTGAGAGGGTTGTTCAAACACTCCTGGAGCTCTGGCAGCCTTGGGGCCAAGACCACTGCCCTGGGGAGCCTGTTCAGTGCCAACCACCCTCTGGGGAAGGAAGCTTTTCCTAATATCCAATTTAACCCTCCCCTGACACAGCTCCAGCCGTTCCCTGGTGTCCTGTCCCTGGTCACAGGGAGCAGAGATGGGAGCTGCCCCTCCACTGGCCCCTCCTGAGGAAACTACAGGCCCCATGAGGTCTGACCTCAGTCTCCTCTCCTCCAGCTGAACAAGCCAGGTGACCTCAGCTGCTCCTAATAGGGCCTGTGTTTATTTTTGAATAGCTGGTTTTTTAGTCAGCACGGGCAAGCGACCACTGAAAACCATTCCAGGAGATAAGTTGTGCCTGCACTAGCAAACCAGATGGTGCACAAGAGCAGCTCCGTAGAAGAGATCCATTTTAGAGATCTGGCATCTCTTACATGCTGGTGAGCTCTCCTTTGTACTAGCTGTACTGTGGGCTTGTTGACTGAATGACCAAAGCACGCTGGGGTGCATTAGGAGTACTCCAGGAATACCAAAGGGAATCCAGCTTGTGGGCCATGAGACACCTCCACAGTCGGTCAAGGTGTGGTGGAGCATTGAATGATCTCCCTGCACCTCCAAAGGCCCATTTCTATCCAAACTAAAACCTTCTCCATCACGTACTGCCACCCAGATCCTCAACCACAAGGCAAATACACCGAAACAACTCCAGGGCACGGCAGGCTGAGGTTTGACAAGGATTAGGACCAAGAGATCACAGCTCCCATGTTATTTCTCACCTTTAGCACTGCAGTAAGACACACAGTTAATACATTCTCCTGCTTCAAAGCCAAACTGCACATCTGGGGAGAGCACATAGTTCTCATCTCGGTCCAAATCCCAGAACCTAAGGCACACAAACCAGCAGTGGTAACAATGCTTTTCCTTCCAAGTGTCTTGCTAAACACAATCAATAGGATGCTGCACATGGCATGAATTTACTATTTCCCTAATACCCAGATCATTCAATTTTTAGAAGTAAATTGTCAGTAGCTGTCTCTGGAATGTGAATTTCTTAACAATCCTTTTCTTTTGACTTTTTAATCTGCAGCACATTTTGGGATATTCTACTATGAAGAAAGGAGTCAGAAGCAAAACCAGCTTTAAGAAAAAAAAAGGAAAAAAATTAGGGCTACTTGCAATTTTCCTCCTCCCTAATTATGCTTCCTCCTCTATTTTAAGAATATCCCTTGGTTAGCCACCAGTCCTTTGGATTCCAGATTTATTCTCTAGAACTAAACACTGCCATAAAATATATTCCTTCTTGATACTTGGTCTTTATTGCATTCTCATAAAATTAACAGAAGGTCCTGTCTGATAGTAGCAGACAGGGAGCTACTGATGTTAATGGAACATTCCCACCCTCCAAAAAAGTTAGTGGAAACAGATAGAATAAGGCATAGTAAAGACAGGGAGAAAATACTTTTTAAAGATGCAAAAATGTAAAAGTACAGAACACAGTAACATAACAGCATGGCAAAGCAACATACATACTTTAAAGGATTAGGGACAGGAGTAACTGAATTACTTGTCTTATGTTACGGTAACAGATAAATGACCTGAAAAGTAAGCACTTTTTCCCAGTTGCTGATGCTATGAGTATCCTAAGGATCAGACAGTAACAATGGCAAGAGCAGCTAAATGGCTCTATTTTCATGCAAAACCCCCAGGTGGATCTATTTTTAGAAGAAATCAATAACAGCACTCAAGGAAGGAACAGATTTGGGTAGCACTGTCTGACAAAATAAAATACCTAGAGAGAAAGCAGGCCATATATAATCAGATTTTGTCCTCAAGGAAACAAATCTTTCATTTCTCTATTTATTTTGAGAAACAAAATTAGGAAATATTGGAAGTCTTTCATTACTGGTAAAAAAACCCACAACCAACATTTCAGCAAAATACTCAGCTCATTGCAGACTGTAAACCTTTCAGCTGGCCCTTCTCAGGGAGTTCTTACCTGATGACTGTCTCACCTAGTGCTGTAACAACCAGGCTATGGTCTATTAGAATGATGTCTGCAGAATGAGCAGTCTTCCCACTCAACTTCACCTGTTAACCATAAGCACATAAATAAGTTTACAGAAGGTGGGAGGAGCACACTGAAGGACAGCAAGCATCTCAACGCCTAGTTTGGCTAAAAAGTTAAGATGTAAGAATAACTAGACCCATCTGTCAGTTCAGACACACTAATAGTGATCACCACTAAATGTACCATGAATGTGATGTATAAACTTAATACAAGAAAGCTTGTAGTGGGTTAATTAGGTAGGCAAGGAGCACTTTTTTACTCTTGCGCTAGGTCTTCTCTTAGAACTCGATAAAGATTACTTTAAAATGTGAAATACCAAATCTTACTTCTAGTCAAGCATAGGTAATGATGAATAAGAGGTGGACACTCCTGTAATATGCAAGTGTCCAGTCTTTGTCCATCTTAGATAAAAAGACAAAACATCCTAGGAAGGTGAAGGGTTGGGTTCCACCCACAAGCAGCATTCTGTAACTGTGCAGTATTTTATTTGAGGCAGGGAGATTGTAAGTCCTGGAAGAGGTTTGTTTGCTTTTTGCCCCAAATAATTTTCGGGTCATTACATTATTATTTGTGATTCTGTGACTAGTGGGCTTTTATTTTTTGAAAGCTGCCTTGCCTTTTCAGCTGTAAGAAAACTTCCCCAGTTTCAGACGTGCAGACAAAGGCAGTTCACCCAGAGGAGGTGCTGAAAGACAAGGCAGCTCCAAATCTCTGAGGATAATAAAACTGAGGACACAGATTATTGACTATTTATCCACAACACATTTTAACAAATACTTGATTATACTGGAATTTCCAATTTTTTTCCAAATCACTAGGAAAAGGCAATGAAGTGTAAAAGGATTAAGATGGGGTCTAAATGAATGAAAATTATGAAAAAACAGGAAGATCACAGAATCAAAAAAAACATCTTTCCAAGTTCAGTAACAGATCACCCTATTCCACTTCTAAATGAGCATACTTTTGTTTGTTCACCAAGGTATTATCTGAGAAACAAAAACAACAGTTAATTCATGTATAAGCAAAATAGTGATAATCAAAAAAAAAAAAAATCAAACAAATACTTACAAAGAATAAATATTGCAACTTTACCCTGTAGTGTGACTCTTACCTTCATGAGCTCGTCTGCCTCTCCCTCAGGGCTAAGTGCATACAGGGACAACTGCAAGTTCTCTGTTATTACAAGTAAAATATCTCTTTCCTCCAGCAATAGGAGCTTTCGGACCAGACTGTCAGTGGACAGCACCTGCCTTGTCTTTCCTTTCTCATTCACGTAGTGCACAGAACCTGCAGCACACACAAACAAGGTGCAGCTTTTAGTCAACAGCTTTTAGCTACAAAACCCAAAGTTGCTGCTTTCTACCTTAATAAAACATTCCACAAGTGCTGAAAAGGTAAAAAACCCCAACAATTCTTTTGTCTTATAGTTTGCCTCAGGATACAGACTAGGATAGCTGACAGGAGCAATAAACTAAAGCTCATTTTTCACCATTTAGGAAACCCAAGAATAATAATAATAATAATTTTAAACTACCAGCAAACTTTCTGCATGAAGGATGGCTACTGAAACCTTCAGTCTTAGAAATAATCTGTGAAAGAAGAACGGCAGCTAAGAATTGGTCCAATTTACAGCTGAGTTTAGATGACAGAAAACTGCAGACCTGAAGATCTCTATTATTTAGAAACACTGCACCACACACCAAATTCAGCTTTAATCCATGAATTTCACTGGCAAATGGGATAGTGTCTTTCTAAGAACACTGACAACAGCAACTATGGCACCCATCAGCATTTTAAAAGCCACTATCATTTCATCAAGTTGCACAACTCTATAAATCATAGAATCACAGAATCATTAAGGTTGGAGAAGACCTCCAAAATCATCAAGTCCAACCTTCAACTGAGTACCACCATGCCCACTAAACTTACCATCAAGTGCCACATTTCAGGGCATGTTGACTCCACCAGTGCCCTGGGCAGTCTGTGCCCTTTCAGGGAAAAAAACGTCCCAAATATCCAACTGAAACCTCCCCTGGCACAACTTGATGGTGTTCCCTTGTTCCCTGGGAGCAGAGCCTCACTCCCCTCGGCTCCCCCTCCTGTCAGGGAGTTGCAGAGCCAGAAGGTCCCCCCTGAGCCTCCTTTTCTCCAGGCTGAGCCCCCCCAGCTCCCTCAGCTGCTCCTGCTGCTCCAGCCCCTTCCCAGCTCCTTTCCCTTCCCTGCACATGCTCCAGCCCCTCAGTGTCCCTCTTGTCGAGGGGCCCAGAACTGCCCCCAGGGCTGGAGGTGCCCCAGCAGTGCCAGCACAGGGGTGGGCACTGCCCTGGGCCTGTGGCCACACCATGGCTGGGACAGCCCAGGGGCCTTTGGCCTCCTTGCCCACCTGGGCACACCTGGCTCATGCTCAGCCACTGCTGACCAGCACCCCCAGGGCCTTTCCTGCTGGGCACTTTCCAGCTGCTCTGCCCCAGCCTGGAGCTCTGTGGGGTTGTTGGACCCAAGTGCAGAACCCAGCACTTGGCCTTACTGAACCTCACACAACCAGCCTTGGCCCATTGCACGCCCAGGTTTAGGTAGTGAAAAGCCCTACATGGTTGTTTGCAAGTGGTATTACAAAAGTCACCCAAACCAATGTCATTGAAATCTGGCAGATCTCATGCCACACCCACATAATGTCTTAGCAAATGATGGTATTATACAAGGGTGATATGTTAAACCAGTGCAAATCAAAAAAATCCTATGGAATTAAATAGAATCTTCCCCCAAAAGCTGATGTAGAAAATGTAAATGTATAAAAATTAACATTAAGGACCCATGCTAAAATGTTGTACCCAAGGAACAATATGATGTATCTAATCAAAAGAATGTTTAGATTTCCAAAATTCTTGCAAATACATTACCATCCTCTACATTCCAGCTATATAAAAATAAATTCAAAGTCCTGTCCCTTTGCTTTATTTTCTCCCTGAAATAAAACACTGCACAGATAACTTCATCTTGTTAAACCACAGAATGGTTTGGGTTGGAAGGGATCTTAAAGCTCATCTCTTTTCAAACCCTCTGCCTTGGGCAGGGACACCTTCCCCTAGCCCAGGTTGCTCCAAGCTCCCTCCAACCTGGCCTTGGACACTTTCAGGGCTGGGGCAGCCACAGCTTCTCTGGGCAACCTGTGCCAGGGCCTCCCCACCCTCACAGCCAGGAATTCCTTCCCAATATCCCATCTCACCCTGCCCTCTGGCAGTGGGAAGCCATTCCCCCTTGTCCTGTCCCTCCATCCCTTGTCCCCAGTCCCTCTCCAGCTCTTCTGGAGCCCCTTTAGGCCCTGGAAGGGGCTCTCAGGTCTCCCTGGAGCCTTCTTTTCTCCAGGTGAACCCCCTCAGCTCTCCCAGCCTGGCTCCAGAGCAGAGGGGCTCCAGCCCTCGTAGCATCTCCATGGCCTCCTCTCCAGCAGCTCCACATCCTTCTGAAGTTGGTGACCCATATCTGGAGGCTCTGCAGGGGGATCTCACCTGAGGGGGCAGAGGGGTAGAACCCCCCCTCCCCTGCTGCCCACACTGTGAGATCAGCCCAGGGCACAGGGAGTTTCTGCATCCCAGCATACACAGACAAGGCATGTCCAGCCCCTCACCCACCAACACTCCCAAGTCCTTCTCAGGACATCTGGGAGTTATGGCAGATCAGTAACCAGATTAAGAACTGAGTCCAAAACACATGCCCAAACCAACCTAGTCAGTGAGGCTGCTCAAAAGGAACAGTGTCATTTGACTGGAATTTGAGAAGCGTGGCGGGGAGGCCCAAGCACAGGCAGTACCCGCAGGACGCAGAGCCTGTCCCTAGATGGGGCTCTGCACCACCAAAATAGCGGCTTTGAATGTGAGGATGGAACAGGCACAGCTTCTCAAAGCTTCCTTCTCTCCTTGTACCTTTGAGAAGTGCCCTGTAACCCCGTTCCAACCACGCAGCTGGCCCATGCCACGCCCGCCAGCTGTTACTGGTGTAAACGAGGGGTGTCACCCTTGATAAAACACGGAATCAAAATGTAACTAAGCTGCAGAACCAGCATAACTGACATGTTTTCAGAGTAGTTAATACTTCATTCAAGAGGACTACATACTCAAATCAACTACCAGAAACATACCCATGGTGCTACTTGTCACACACATTCTGGCTCCAGTTCAGAATGAGCAGGTTAGAGAGAGAAGGCTTCGGGAGAACAATGGGGTGAGAAGAAAGTTGCCTGGGGCAAACTAGTACCCAGAAGACTAAAAGGGAGAGGAAAAGACGAGGAAGAGATGATATTAGGGAGAAAACTAACAGAACAGATTCTCAGGCTTTTTTTGCTCCCTTAGACTGAAGCATCATTTCAAAGCATGAGAAAAACGTGAAAAAGCAAATTCAGAATTTATTTTAAGAGGTATGTTTTAGCAGTATTTGCCTGTTTATAGAAGAAAACACCTCACAACGCACTCATTATTTTGAAGCTTTGCACAAAGTGCTGACAATTGCTAATTTTATCTACACTTGTGTTAGATGGTTTTCCTCACACTCACTTCTTCAGGAATCTGACTAACCCAGTACCTCTGGTGTCCTTGTGGACAGGGACCACCCTGAAGATGGTAAGACTTAAATAATGTTATTAATTTCTTCTTACCACCAAACATTCTACAGCTCCTATGACTACTCTACCCTGCTGAATATATGAATATGATGGATATATGGATATACTCCAGATGTTAGACATATAAAAACAGAACTATCATGCACTGAGCTATTTTGAAGCTTTAAGGAAATGTTTCCAGCAGACTGGAAAAGTGGTTTTGCTCTTACCATCTGTCAAAGTGATAAAGAAAGAGAGTCCTTCCTGGACTGCCATTTTCAGGGGGGATCCCTTTCCAGCTTTCCTCCAGTTAAACATATCCAAGGCCTTCTCATCACCACTCACAGCTGCTTTTGCCAGCTGTACCAAGTCCCTGCAAACAGAGATACTTCAATCCCAATTCCTGACAGAACAGAGTAGCTTCAGCCTCAAAGAATGGACGAGTAATTAATAAAGTATATTGTATAAAAAAAATAAAGATGTTTCATACACTGATGGGAAAAACGGCAAACTCAAAAAGATACAGAAAAAAATTAATATTAGTTTTCATTTGCATTGTTTCACCTTTTTTTTCCATAAGCATTGTTATTTTTACAGAGACATGAAACAGAAGAGCCCAAGCAAAGAAAACTCTTCTTTTTTACTAGAGCTGTTTCCTATTTCTTGCTTGGAGAAGAAAGAATGTTTAAGAACTGACTTTTAATTTAATTATTTTTGCCAATACGTTATCGATAATCATGTTTCCAGTGTGCTTACTGCTTTTCACTGTCAGCAACACTGCTAATTGGAAGAACTAAAGACAGAAGAGTTAACTGCAAGAGATAGAAGGTATGGACAAGAGGAGGAAGTCCTGTTGCAGCACACAGGACACAGAGCTAGCTACCAGAGTAGGAGAAGAGCTTGGAAATAAAGGGCAGTTCGGAGAAGAACCTTTTTTTATGTATTTAAAAATAGTTCATCTGTGAGTAGGACTTTCTTTCTGTGGAACAAGACAAAGACCTAGCCTAGCAGAGCTCTGCCAGGGCCAATACTCACTGGCCAGGAGGGGGTGGCCGAAAGACACAGTGCCCCAGGCATTTCCTATAGTCCTGCTTCACCAGGGCAGGGCCCTGCACTCGACCTCGGTGGTCCACCTTCCACAGGAACAGGACACCGTGCTAGAAAAGACAATAGTTCATTCATTCCACTCTGCAGACAGATAAGGATCCAGATTTCAGCTAGTCACTACACATAAAAATAAAATAAACGTTTTCTTGACAGAACAAAACCCTTCTTTTCATTTAGTTGACACATATAATCTCTCCCACTTAAAACTAAGCCACAGGGAATCAAAGTTATCTTTAACATTATTTCCTTCATTTTTTCTTAAAAGTTTTAACTTCTTTTCAGTAGTAAGATGGCAGTATTTATACCATCCAAAACTGCTCATTAAGTGCATTGCTGTCTCTTGCAGCTTAAAGAATGCGACTCAGCTGTGCACCTGTGACACTGCTGTACTCCTGTCCCATGAGGCCACTTGCAGTTCATACAATGTTTACTGATTACCTCTGAAAATGACAGGATCCTATGATCTTGCTGGCTCCTCCTCTCACTCTTCCCTCAGCTTTAAATGTCACCAAATTCCAAGGATCCCAATTAAAACCACCTGCGCCATTTATAGGAAGGGAGGAAAAGCCTGTAGCTTTCTAAAGCTGCTGAGCTTCCTTCCATCTCATTCGAGATATCCCAGCCTGTATCCAGATAAACTAGTTGCAAACTCAGTTCTGATTTTGGAACACATAAAAATGGAAATAAAAAAAAAAGCTTGCTACCTCTTCACTGGAAAGGATGTAGAACTGCTCTGTTTTCAAATGGTATTTGAAAAGGACAAAGGACATTGCCCTCATCATCTATCTGAGTCCCTTCCTAATAGAGATATTTTCACATTCTATCCTGTATTTTCCAAATCACTCTTAACAACCTAAAGCTTTAGCTCCTTGTTACAAAAGTTATTTGCCTTACAAATAGGCTTTCATCATGAGAAGGCACCTTAGGATTCTTTGTATGATCAAAACCTTAAAGTTGTCCATGTTCTTTGTTACTTAAAACATAAGAGCATCTGATTTTCACAGCATCCTATTCCAACTTTCTGAAGTTATTTTCAAATAATTTTTGTGCATTCCAGGATTTATGATGACAGAAATCTCAGTGAAGATAGAATTGTAGAATCATAGAATATCCTGAGTTGGAAGGGACCCACAAGGATCATCGAGTCCAGCTCCTGGCCCTGCACAAGACAGCCCAATACTCACTGAGGTTAGACACACTTTTATTTAAAGACAAATTGGTAGAACAGCAATAAGTATTGTAGAAAAAGTTAAAACCCTAAGATTTGATTTTATTCCCAAAGAGTTTTAATTTGTACTCAAAGAAAGGAAATTTCTCTCCCACAAAACTCTCCCTTCCCCCAACAATCCATTCCACGATCCCTCCCCATCACAGAGCTTCCAACACTGTGTTCCACAACAGACACACAGTTGGCATTTCAGCCACTCACCTCATCCCCAGACACGAGGCAGGTACCACTCGTGCTCCAGCTCAGGACTGTGATTTTGGTGCTGTGGTCTGGGGGTACAGTGTGCTGCTCCTTTTCTTGTTTGTTCAGCACCACCACTTCTCCCATCTCCCATCCTGCTGCCAAGATGGGTCTGGAAGGGTGCCAGGCAAGCAGTGTGACCTGAAAGCTTCTCTCCACATGTGAGTCAGACACATGTTCTCCCTGCAAAGAGAAACCAGCACCAGCTCAGCCCCATGGAAACTCAGCACATGGATGCAGCCAAACCTTCAGATTCACTGCCCAGTCAGCAAGATATTTTCCTGTCATAAAGGACTGGCACATAGGAGAGCCATCTGCCAGAGATATGAAGTGGCTACACAAATTCTCATTACAGCTTTTTATGTGCTAAAATGAAAACGTGCTACAACATGCAGTACATCCATTTGCAAATTGCTAATGAGAGCTCAGCAGCACTGAGTGAGGGAAAGCCTGATTCTGCTTTTCCAGGCTGTTCTTCCCTCCCAGCACACAGAAGCAGCTCCCAGTCGATATCAAGCTTTCCCTCCTTTATGAAGGATAACAAGGCTTTGAGCACATTTCAAGGTAAAAAAAAAACCCAAGTGTTGAAAAAGAACAAAGCAGATCACTGAGGACACAATAATCTAACGCTCCAATAGCTGTTAAAGGCAGATCCTCCTTTGGCACACATTTGTGAGAATATTTCAGGTCAATCACTTGACCTCTCTATGTATTTATTTTTTCATTTGTAAAACTCGGATGACAATTTTTCATAATACCCTTTGAAAAGTACATATTTTATAGACTACTCCTATTAACAGACTTACACATTTCCAGTAAGACTGCTGCTTGATAACTTGTAATGCTATTTCTCTAAATACCAAGGTTTTCTTCCTAAAAATTAGGCAAACCAAAGCCCTCTCATGTAAAGTTTAGAGTATGCAAAGGAAATACCTGTCTACAGGCAGAAACCGTACTAGGAAACAACCTACTCAAATGGAACAAGCTGAGTCTAGCAAATCAGTTCAGTCTCAAGGTGGTGGAATGACTTGTTTAATTTCCATTTCTTTGTATGTTCTATTCACTTAATAGTTAAAAAGAACAGCATGTGTTCATTTTACTCATAAGACTGAAATTCTCATACTATAAGAAGTGAAAACCAAATTAGTAATCATCACAAACAAGATTTAAAGGCTGTAAAGATCAAATTTCAATCAAAAGATTGATTTAATTTATGAAGATCTTTTTAAAAACACATGTAATGAGTAGCTGATGAATCTGCCATGTCCTAGATAGCACATTACATAGATAGTAATTAAAATCCAGAGAGAGGGATTTACAGAGCATAAGTAAGGCTGCAAATACAGAGATAAAAAATGTGAAGTTTTTTAAACTATGAGAGGTTGCCCAAAGAAGCTGTGGCTGCCCTGGAAGTGTTCAAGGCCAGGTTGAATGGGGCTTGAGCTTGGGTGTCCCTGCCCATGGCAAGTGGTGGAACTGGATGGGTTTTAAGGTCCTTTCCAACCCAAAACTGTCTGTGATTCTGTGGCTCCATATCAAAACCAAAACCAAAGCTGCTGATTATTCACCTGTTCCAGGTAGACATCCACACAGCCCCCAGCTGCTGTGCTGATGGAAGCAACTGCCAGGAGCGGGTGAAGTGGGTGCCACGCAATGAGGGAAGGGGAGGCAACGGAATCGGGAGTGTCCATCCGATGATCCACATACACAGCCATGACAACTGCAAACCTGCACCAGGAAAGCAAACAGCTCCAGCAGGTGTGCTTACACAGATAATACACATACATACTAGAGATGCTGTATTATACTTATCTTATGTACTATATATAATAAGTATGCTTGAAAATGTGGGAAAATAAAACTAGAGTAGCATCTTGTTAACACACATTGCACAGACATGAGGAAGTTCACAGGGGTATGTATTTCTTTTAAAAATCTGAAGAAACACCGAGCTTTGTAGTCTGCAGATTCACAGTGCACTCAGAACAGTACCAGTCCCTCATCAGTGGCTTGTGCTGGCCCATTTCAAAGGACTCTGAAATAACCCAGTATTCACCAGAAAGCTATTTCCAGCACTTCACATCCAAAGATGTTAATTAAGGTACAGACTGAGCTATTTTATGTTGTAAAGTTTCACATCTGGGTCTCAAAGTAAGTTTTACCAGCTGTCACCACTTTTGTGATTTTGTACTTTTGATATTACACAGGATTAGTTTAACTGCTACATTGGAACTGTTACCAAGATATGGATGAGAATACTCGATAAGTGCTGATGTTCCACAGAAAAGAACCTGAGAATAAAACTCTTTTCAGAGCTGTGAGTCAGAAATGGAGAAAGTCATTAATAATATGTAATACTTTATATACAGAGATGGTCTTTGGAATTTGTGCTATGGGATCTTATTGGCTTGGATTCAAAAGAAAAACAGCTGGACCAAAATAGCTTGAGTTACCAGCAAATGATCAAAGAGTCACTGAACAGTTCAGGTTGGAAGGCACCACAGAGTGGGTCATCTGGTCCCATCTCCCTGCTCCAGCAGGGTTTTCCCAGAACACACGGCACAAGATTGTGTCAAGAGGGTTCTGGAATATCTCCAGTGAGGGAGACTGCACAATGCCTCTGGGTAACCTGTTCAGCGCTCAATCATTTCACAGTGAAGAAGTTCTAAATTTTCAGACAAAATTTCCCGTGTTGCAGTTTCTGCCCGTTCCTCATGTCCCATAGCCGGGTCCCCAAGCAGAGCCTGGTCCATCCTCTGCCCCCTCCCTGCAGCCCCTGACACACCCTGGGCAGGTCCCCTCTCGGTGTCTCCTCTGCAGGCTGAGCAGCCCCAGCTCCCTCAGCCCAGCACTGCACACAGCACTCCAGCTGGGCCTCCGCAGGCTGAGCAGAGGGGCAGGATCCCCTCCCCTCCCTGCTGGAAATGCCCTCCCTCACACAGCCCAGGATCCCCCACCCTGGTGCCAGGGCTGGTCAGAGACAGTGTCCACTGGAACCCCCAGGGCCTTCTCCCCTGAGCTGCTGCCCAGCAGGGTTAATAACCTGGGCTTATTCCTCCCCAGGTGCAGGGCCCTGCCAAGACCTGGTAAAAACCAAACCAAAACAAACCCCCCCCAAAACCCACAACCAACCAACCAACCAATGAAAGGTTTAAAATACTCCTGTGACACTTAAGGGGAAAAGGCCTTTTCTTGTGCGCAGCTGAACAGTGAGTTCAGAACCTGCAGGCACACACATGCTCAGCAGCGAGACTGGCTGAGGTCACCAAGGATGTAAAATGGACATGAACAGACTCTTCTTTTAAGGTCTCTTCTCTTCAAACCTTCTGTCAGTGCCTAAAATAACTAATTTGCTGGGCACTAAGGTTAGAAAGGTGGGCAACTGCTCAGTAAGTTGGCAGTTCTGTATCTTGCCTCTGACACTACAAGGAACAACATGAACTACCAGACCCAGGAGCAGTCAGCCTGCAGACAAGTGATTTCATCTTTCAACAAGATACATCCACCTTTATCTTCATACTCTTTCAAAATCCTCAGCATTCCCAAAGTGGCACCTAGTGGGTCTAGTTTTATTGCCATGCAAAAAAAAACCCAAAAAACCATTCTAATAAAATTTCGTGTGTTTTCCATCTTGATTTCACATATTTTAAAAGTTTTCTCGTGTCTCCAGTTTTGTTCCAGAGTTCTGTACCCATACTACCACTTTAGTCCTTACTTTATCGTTTCATTTTCTTCTAACAGGGGGAGAATTTAGTCCATATTTGCATATAAGCTTTATCTGGGCTAAAAATTTGAATTAATACAGAATTCCACTTCACATTACAATAAAAATGTGAGATGTCTAAATGGAAACAAAACACCATTTGGTATGAAATAATGGTTTTATCACAGAAACCATACAGCTGTAATGTCTTCTCAACAGCCACCATCTTCTGCTTTTAAGTGTTCCTTGCATCTGTAGTCCTAAATATTACTTATATTATTCAAGTATTTCAGTCCCCTTCAGTGATGGAAGAGAATAAGTTTGTCAGTCTTCCAAACTGCATCTCTTGATCAGCTCATTAAAGAACCATCTTTTTTGGCATTAATAGACAGCAAGAACATTTTTTCATCAATACTGTATATATTTAAAAACAGACCGACACTTCCTAAAACGAGATTCAGTTATATTGTCAAGTAAGTTACAGACAATCCCTGATATAAAATACTTTCCACCATCACAATAACCATACAAAATTGCACAGCAGATTGCTTGTCCTAGTTAGAGCAGCTGGGCCCAGTTCACCACTGTGTGGGTGTAACCCAGGCTGTGTATTCTACACTCTCTCTGTCATTTCCCAGGAACTGGTCACAACAGACCATTTGCAGCAGCTGCCCAGAGCACACCTGACCCCTCAGGCTGTAAGCTGGGTGTTAAGAGGCCTGGGAGATAAGAGGATGTTCCTGTCCTCACACCCACAACCCACAATCACCCACTGTGGAACTCCCCACCTGGGGGAGGTGCTGGGCATTGCCACCCGAACCTGTCTATGATCTTGGGGTCTGGGGACTTCTGGGACCACTCGTGGGATCCAGAGGAGGACCAGAACCTCGACAGGATGGTGACCTCCACTCCTGACCGGACTGCGACCATAACTCGCCCCAACAGGTTCTTCCTCTCCTTTGACTTTGGACTCAGGGGGCCCACGTGGGGCTCAGCACGGGGGCCAAGGAACACCATTCTGTTCATGCCCCAGGGTGCTGGGTTATACATCTGGGGTTTTGTGGATTAAAACCAATTGTTCATCTGTATAATTGTATTTACTGTATTATTTTTATTAAATGGTGATTCTGAGTTATAATATCTTTTGAGTTGGGTTCATTTCTCCTGCCAGTTTGCCTTTAAACCAGCACACTGCTATACACAAATAAATAATTTGCTTACATAAGTGGGTTACACAGTGGTGTAAGAATAACTAAAGCAACGTTCATTTGCTCTCTGTAGTCTTGGAAATTCATTATTCATGTATTTACTGTTGCTTCCGGCTCATGTGTTTACTTTGTAGCTTTGAGAGATGCCTCTTCAAAAGTCTTCAAGGAAAAAACAAAAAGAAAACCAAGTAGCACTGCCTCTAAAAACGATTCTGGCACTGCACATTCTATTTTTTCAAATTTTTAAAAAAATTAATTTCTGGAACTTAACCACTTTAGGGCTTGGAATAGAACATGACCAAGCCCCAGCACCTGATCTCAGTAATCAGATCAGATGCACATGAGGGACAGTTTTGAAACAAGCCATAGGCAATTCATGAAAGCAGTAAGAGCTCATGGCATCACAGAATGGTTTGGAAGGGACCTTTAAAGGTCATCTTGTTCCACCCCCTGCCATGGCCAGGGACACCTTCCACTAGCCCAGGTTGCTCCAAGCCCCCTCCAACCTGGCCTTGGACACTTCCAGGGATGGGGCAACCTGTGCCAGGGCCTCCCCACCCTCACTGTAAAACTTTTCTTCAGACTAAACCTACCATGTGCCAGCTTCAAACTTATCCCTTCATCCTGTCAGTACAGGCCCTGGTAAGAAGTCTCTCTCCATTTTTCCCTCTAAGCCCCCTTTAGGTACTTAAGGAAACTTCCCTGTCCAACCCTCCAGGAGCTCCCCTGTCAGTCACCCAAGCTGGGACAGAGGCCCCTGCACAGCTGCTCCCCACACACACAGTCCGAGTTTCCTTAACAGCACCACCCCAGGTTTCCCAGAGCAGTCTCAGACATCCTGATCCTTAAAATAATTTAATCTTGGTGCACTAAAAAATAAAAACCCAGAGGAGGGACCCCGTAAAAAGGAACCCCTGGGCTTTTTATACTCTAAGGGTGAGGAAGGCTGGGGGTTGTTGGCTCCTTTGTCTCAGTGTCTCTCACCTGTGGCTGGGCCACAGGTCCCCGTGACCTTTGTTATCAAAGGGTTGGCAGTTCACTGTTCTTGCCTGGTTCTCTGGCACCCAAAGCTGAGCCTGCAGCTGGCACTGCAGCTGCATCCCTGAGCTGCCAGCACTGACTGGATTCCTCCGGACACAGGAAGTGATGTGTTCCTGGAGCCTTCTCTGCTCCAGGTGAACCCCCCCAGCTCTCCCAGCCTGGCTCCAGAGCAGAGGGGCTCCTGCCTTGGAGCATCTCTGTGGCCTCCTCTGGACTCACTCCAGCAGCTCCACGTCCTTCCTGTGCTGGTCCCCCATATCTGGAGGCTCTGCAGGGGGGTCTCACCTGAGAGGACAGAGGGGCAGAATCCCCCCTCCCCTGCTGCCCACACTGTGGGATCAGCCCAGGGCACAGGGAGTTTCTGCATCCCAGCACACACAGACAAGGCATGTCCAGCCCCTCACCCACCAACACTCTCAAGTCCTTCTCAGGACATCTGGGAGTTATGGCAGATCAGTAACCAGATTAAGAACTGAGTCCAAAATACATATGCCCAAACCCAGGGTCAGGACTTTGCACTTAGCCTTGTTGAGTTTCATGATGTTCAACACAGATCAACATTAGACACTACATTAATAACTGTTATCTGTCCCTGTTCTCAACAGGCCAGACATAAGCCAGGTCTGGTCCAGACATCATACACCAACACTAACTCGGTCACGTGCCTGGGATATCAGATCTTTTGGGGAAGTCCAGCCTTATTTCAGTGTTTGTCAGCTCACAAGTCGAACATCACCAGTACAGGGACCCATGTGGACTGATAACTGTCCATCATCTCAGAGCATGGGCAAGGGGTTGTGTCTGTCTGCGCCCACCCACACAGACTTCCCAAAGAGTCTGTAATTTTATGAGTAGGGGAAGATTATCCACTGACATGAGGCAATTCTCCCCCCAGAAAAACCTCTCAATCCATCACTTACAAATTGACAGAGTATTTAAATTAAAAAACAAATAGTTTTGATTTGTTGGGTTTGAATTTTCTGGGATTTAGGTAGGCAACCTCAGACTCCTATTGCTGCAAATGACAGCGGTGAGCCAGGACATGTGCACATACTTCACAAGACAATCATCAACGTTCAGGAAAACAAACAAAAAAACCTATTCTTTAAGAACAATTCTTTAAAATCTGCTTTTATGCTGCCACAATGTTATCAGCACAGGTAACATTGAAGGGAGGCTGATCACGACTGGGTTTGGAGCTGCTACAGCTCCCAGCCCCCATCTCCGGGCACACCATAAAATGAGGTTTCTGCCTGCCTTGCCTCAACAGTGCCCTGACAAGACTCGACAGCTACCAAATTAAGAGCAGAAGCTTTTCCTAAAACCCCTACCTATAAGAAACGCTGGCTTTTAAATCTGAAATTGTTCAAAACAGTCAGCCCCAGAAAAAAGAAACAACACAAAACTGCACTGTGCTACAAAAAGATGGTTAGTAAGTACAGTCTCCTCTAAGTAGTAAAACAGACGGAGTAAAAACCTGAGTCCTGCCCCCGCCCAGAAGGGATGGAGCTCCGGGCCAGGCCCGCGCTGCCGGGCCGTGGCCGCCCCAGAGCGGGCCCCGCGCAGCCCCGGGCCCGAGCGGGCAAACACGGCCAAACTCGCGGGTCCCGCTATCACGTTCGAGCCCGTGGGCGGAGTCGCCCGTCCCCGCCGTCTGGATCCCACCGACCGTCCCGCACCTCCCACCGACCGCGACCGACCCCGGGCCCAGCGCGGGGAACCGGCCGGGCCGCGCCCACGCCCGCTCTCACCACAGGCCGCGGCCGCCCCGCGATGCGCCGCGTTACCCCGGTAACGGGCGGAAACTGCCGAGAGGCACCGAGGAGTGGCGGGAGTGGCCGAAGGCTCACGGAGAGAGGCGGAAAGGGCCGAGCGCGGCGAGTCCCGCGGCGGCGCCGAGCGGCCCTCCCGGAGCTCGGCAGCTCTTGGAGAGATTTCTCTGGGAGGAAAGGAGTTCGGTAACTTTTGAAGTTACTGACCGGGTTTTTCTGGTAACATCTAAGTGAAGACAACCCACAAAGCCCTTCTGCCCTTGCCCTCGCACCACCCTGAACCTCCTCACAGAGTATGAGGAGCTGGAAGGGACAGACAAGGATCACAGAGTCCAACCCTCAGCCCTGCACAGAACCATACCCAGAGTCATCCCCTGTGCCCCAGAGGATCCAAACGCTCCTGCAGCTCTGGCAGCCTTGGGGCTGTGCCCACCGCCCTGGGGAGCCTGTTCAGTGCCAGCCACCCTCTGGAGGAAGAACCTTTCCCTGAGATCCACCCTGAGCCTGCCCTGACACAGCTCCAGCCATTCCCTGGGGGCTGTCCCTGGTCCCCCCAGAGCACAGCTCAGTCCTGCCCCTCCTCTGCCCCTGCCCAGGCAGTTGTGACTGCAGTGAGGTCTCCCCTCAGTCTCCTCCAACTGAAAACACCAAGTGCCCTCAGCATCCTCACACGGCTTCAAATCAAGGCCCATCTTTGTTGCCCTCCCTTGGATGCTCAGCACCTCAGGTATGGCCCAGGTCAGGCACAGCCCAGCCCTTGCCCACACCGGGCCTGCAGCCAGCCCTAGCAGCCAGGTTTACCCAACACCTTTAAAAGAGGCAATTCAAGATCCAACCCCCACAGCACTGTCCAGTCCACAGTCATTTGTAATTCCTCTGAAGTCTTAGCACTTCCATGCAGATGAAAACCAGCCACATACAGTACAGCTGTGATCAGCAGCTTCTGCATGCTCTGAGGTTGGCTGGCCACGTGTAATATGTAATTTATGTGGTGTTTATCACTGTTTCCTTTTACAAATATGCAGCAATTATTGGGACCCTGCTGAAAAAAAAAAAAAAAGCACCACATCCCAAACTTGTTAGCAAGTAGGAAAAAGTACTTAGTGGGAGGCACACTACATAGAAACAGGTTACCTTTCAGAATTATGGGCAGGCTTCAGGTAGAGAGGCAAAACACTGTCTTTAGACCTTCTTGCTGCAAGCTAGGAACACCCATAACCATAGCAGCAGAACTGACAAAATCCTGTTTCCTGGAGCTTTTTATCTTCTCCTGTGCGTGGTGTCAGTTCTGACACAGTCATTTATGGCACCTCTTGGTGGTGGATCCTTGGATGTGCAATAAGCCCCCTCAGCTCACTCAGGTGCCACTCCCGAAGCAGAGTCAGCAATTCATCTCTTGCCTCTGCCCGTCTGACTGTTCTCATGGTGCCCACAGGAGCTTTGAGATATCAGACTGGAAGTTGAGGATTTGAGCAGACCACGTGCAGATGGCCTTGTTTTCTCAGACAACCAGGCTAACAAGGAAAATATTGCAGCTACATGGTACAGTTGAGTCAGAAAAAAACTAGAGATTGATGCTCCAGCTGGGTGTGTATCATCCCTTTCTGGGATGTAATAAAAATAACCTAAATAACCCACTGACTATCTCTGCTCAAATAGAGTAAATAGCTTTAGAGCTCTCAGAATTGGCTGGTTCACTGTTACACAAAATTTTGCCCAATAATTCAACTACATATCCCTACTTGTGCAGGCTTAGATGGAAATTAAATTTTCCTGCTCTTCAATATTCAACAGAGAAGCTCTGCTTCTATCCCAACCAGAAAAATGAACATGGCATCCTAGGCTGCTAACATCTTCCCTCCTGAGCACTGCACTCAGAGAATCATATAATCCCAGAATGGTTTGGGTTGGAAGGGACCCAAAAGTTCCAATGCCCTGCTACCATCAACAGCTGCTAGTCCCTAAAAGCCCAGGACAGGCTGCAGCAGTGCAGTTGCACACAGTGCATTCCCTCCTCTCCTCTAAGGGCTTGACTTCACGGACAGACAAAAGTAAAGTTGCATGACTAGGTGCTTCCTATTCCGTAAGCAATAAGGGCTTAACAATAGCAGCCTGTACTTCCATTGAAATCCTCTTACTTGCACGGGAAAGAACTGCTTTAGCAACACAAAGGCCATCTGAGATCTTTTGCCAGAATAAACAATTTAAGAGCTTTTTGAGAACAAATTAATTATGAATGAAACATAGTAGCTTCTAAGTTACCTAAAAGGAAAATACAGAACAACATCCACTTTACTGGTGCTTTTTACATCTAAGGTCTTTGGAAAAGTATTTTCATGTTACAATTGGTGATTATCATGCAAATAAGTTACAAAATGAAAAACATCTCAACATAAACCTAGAGTATTAACTTTTTTCCTTCTGCTGGACAGTTCTGCATTGCTTGCTCTATTTCTAATAAACATGCAATGGGTTATTCATACCTTAAAATACACAGGCTGTGCAACAAATCCTAGATAACGTTCTTGCTTGGCCTAGAAAACCATGGCAACAAACACCGGAAGACTATTTGCATTTTGTAGCTGTGCCGATCTGTCAAAGTAGAAAAGTGGGGAGGGTCTGTGATCAAAAATGAACAAACGGAAGTTCAAGTGTCTTTTGACGTCTCACCCTACCCCCTGCCTCTCAGCTCTTGTCCAACTCCTTTTCAGCCAGCCTTTCTTTCACAAACATTTACACACATGAGCAATTTCACACCTTAACAGTCCGCTGGAGGCAATGGGGCTATTCAAGCATGGAAAGCTATTTACATACAGAGAGAATGGAAACTTTCAACTGCGGAGCGGAACGTAACTCCACATCTCTCTGCAAGAGCATCATGGAAAGACGTGACACTGGAGATGTAGAACCCGTCACTTCCTGACTATATTGTTGAATTTGATTGTGGCCATACCAAGGAGCAAAAATAAGCCATATAGTCTTGTGCCAGATTATAACAAACCCCCAAAAAAGTAGATTTAAATACAAAGCACTGATTTAAAAAAAGCAAAACAAAGAAACCAAGTTCTACTTATAGCAGCACAGGTAACTCCTAGCTCAGAAGAGAAAACAAAGATATCTTTCTTGCTACGATAGTCACAAATTTCGGGGAGACGGGGGGCCCAGGGCACAGCCGCGCAGACACCGCTCCGACACAGCGCCGAGCCCGCTCTGGGGGAACGCCCCCCTCCGGCAGCTGTAAATACCCCGCCGTATGCAAATCACCCGTCTCTGACCAATCGAATCCGGAGGGCTCGGCTGTGGGGCCCTCAATTGGTTTCTCCTTCAGCCAATCAGCACCCGATTCCCGTGTCCCGCCCCGCCCCCTGCCGGCCCCCGCCCCGCCCCCCGTCTGCCCCCGCCCTTTCCTCCGCGCGGCACTGTCGTCACGCGCCCCGCGCCGTGCTGTGCTTGGCTGGCGCTGGCGCCGCGGCCCCGCCCCCCGGCCTCGCTCCCGCCCGGCTCGGGCCAATGGGACGCGGCGATCGGGGCGCTCCGCGGGGCTCGCGCGCTCGGCCCCGCCCCCGGCCCGGGCTGGGCGAGCAGGAAGCGGAACCGCCGCGGGCCCGGCCCGGCCCGAGCACAGCCCCGCACGGATAAGGCAGCCCCGCACGGACGACACGGCCCAGCACGGATAAAGCTAGCCCCGCACGGACGGCAGCCGACCCCGCAGGGATAAAGCTAGCCCCGCACGGACGGGAGCCGGCCCGGCACGGACGGCAGCCGCGCCCGCGGGCAGCCAGCGGGGCCGCGGGGCGGGAGCAGCCCGCGGAGAGAGGTTGGCCCCACGGACGCCAGGAAAGCTGGGAGGGCCGCTGGGCTCGGCGCCGGCCGCCTCCCGAGCTGGCGGGTGTGGGCGCAGCCCGCGGGTGCCCGGGGCTGGCGGAGCCGGAGCGCGGAGCCGGAGCGGCGGCGTTGATGCAGCAGGTGAGGCCGGCGCGGGGGGACCGGCCCGGCGGCGCTGGGGGGACGCGGCTCTGCGCTCCCGGGGAGGGAGCGGAGGAACGGCCGCGGGGTGCGGGGGACCAGAGCAGCGAGTCTGAGGAGGTTTTTCCTTCGGGAGCAAGAGGAACATGGTGAAAACGAAAGGAGAAAGCGGCTGAGACAAGGACACTGGGCTTAGGGCGCTGCTGGAGGACTCAGGCAGAACGCTGGAAGGAGCCAGCAGTTGGGAAGTGGGATTTGCTACTCTGGTCCTGTAAGGAAGGGTCCCCAAGGAGCGTGTCTTTGGCATCCCCCAGCTAATCTGTGAGGGGTGCCCGTGGGTGTATTGTTTAACTTGCAGTAATAAGGCCAAACTTAAAATTATTTAAGCCTTGCTTACATGAAGTTTTTGAGCACAGGCTATCAGAACTGGAAGAATTCTGTCCTCAAAATATCTGGAAACAGTGCAGGTTTTGTTGTATGCAGAATCGGTCAGTATCTAGGGACCTGTCAGGTGAATAAATAACCAAGTTTCAATATGAGTTTAGATCCACAGTTCAGATCAGTTTATTGAGCATTTGCGAAGAGAGGAACATTGCCAGACACAAGTCTGGATAGGTAAGTTCAAGGGGTTTGCTAAAAATTAGATGGAAAAGTATAATTTTAAAAGTAGCAATACAACCCATAAAGAGTAACCTTGCAAGTTTGCGGGCCATATCAGGCATCTTCTTTCTTTTGAACCTCATTATCCTGGTGTCAGCCTAACTGTAGTCATTCCAATGTTTGTGATATTCAGAATTTTCTTCTCCTATTGGTTTTTATCTTTCCCCTTGATGGAGGTTGGATGGTGACTCCTGCCATGGTGACAAGGCAGCTGCATCACAACTGCTGCTCATTGCTGGGTGCTGTAAGTGGTTTTTTCTTGGAAGATGACCCCTTTTAGGTATGGTGTCAGTAACATTGTTACACTCTTCAAGGAAAACCCAAAGAGTTGTTGGGTTTTAACAGATAATGTGTTTTAATGCCTTAAGCTTGCATGCATATCTGGCATTTTGTTCCAAGCATTTGAAAAAAACTCTTCAGAATTGAGAGGATTTGTGAAGCCAGCTCAGCGAGTGGTCATCCCAGCAG